AGCTAAGTTTTTGGGCTAATTGATATGCATATTTTCTATATTCCCCTTTATATATTCTATGCACTCACATTGGTGGAGTTGAAGGGCACTTTTGATTTTCCCTAAGGAGTGCTTGGATTTGGGATTTTTGTTTAAATCTAGCTTTTTCCATTTCCTTTTTTTTGTTCTTTCCTTTCAGGATTTTGGTTTGGATTTAGCTCTTGCATTATTTAGATCTCCACTTTTTTTTTTGTCATTTCTCTTCTTTTGCTCTTTCTTTTTCATTTATCTTTATGGTAGAGCAATAGTTTCCTCCTCCTTTGACTCTAGAGCAGCAGTTGGTGCAATTGCTTGATGCTATACGATTGCAATTGAACAACCAAACTTAATTTCTCATAGCATTCATGGCATGTGGTATAGCTCCTTTTACTCTTGGTGTTAATCCTTGCGTTTGGCCAGAGTTCTTTCTTGGGAATCCTAAGGATGATATGTACTAATGGTTCAATCACTTCACAGTGATTACCATATATCATTCTTGGGATGATACTTGATGTTTGGGTGAGTTTCCCACATGTCTCCAAGAGACAACATTGTAATGGTTCAATGGTTTGAGAGCAGCCACTCGTTGGAATTAGAGTATTCTCTTGAACATCTTCAAACGCATACTCGGACATGCTGACATTATGATGATGCCTTCCAACAATTGCATTGCCTTTGTCAAGGGCCATTAGAGTCAGTGATGCAATTTGGCATTTGTTTCCGAAGCATTTTACTTCGTGCGGAGCCAATTATGTCAAAACAAATTAAGCTGGGAATGTTATGGCCAACACTTCGTCAAGATCTTGTAAGACTTGTGCATGCATTTGCTCCAGCCACCATTGACAATGCCTTTTATTTGACACAACATTATGAGATTTTGTCTCTTCCACTTCTCACTGCATGTCCTTCAGCTCCACTTCCTATGGGAGATGGTCATGTTCCAATGGAGGTTAATATTACTATTGCTTGAGTTCAAGGACAAGAGCAAGGACATGGTCATAGCCGTGATGTTCATTGCTGGGCATGTGATAAGGTTAATCACACTTATCAGTGTTGTCGGCGTTTTCCGAATTAGAGGCCTCCATTTCCTACTTAGAGACCTTGGTGTCAAGAACATCTTGTTCGTGTTGCTACAGTGGAAGATCTGAACACCGAGTAGCATCTGGGAAATGAGGAGTCACATGAATAACAAAGGGATCTTGCACAGATAAGTCAGTGACCCTTCCATTTTTCTTTCGGGAGTATCATCAAGTGGTTCATTT